TACCGATGGCCGGGTATACCGATGGCCGGGGTATACCGATGGCCGGGGTATACCGATGGCCGGGGTATACCGATGGCCGGGGTATACCGATGGCCGGGGTATACCGATAGCCGGGGTATACCGACGGGCGGGGTATACCGACGGGCGGGGTATACCGACGGGCGGGGTATACCGACGGGCGGGGTATACCGACGGGCGGGGTATACCGACGGGCGGTGGATATATGGGGCATAGCGATACCGTGTCAGCTAAGGGACGGTCAGCTACGGGGGCGCTCAGCTAAAGGGGGTGCTCGTAGACGGGGGAAATCCGACGGGAGGAAGTAAGGAATCTGTGTCACTCGTTTCTTCGTGGCCAGCATAGACGACAGGCTATTGTCGTTTTGGTCCCTGAGTTACAGGGGTATATCCGGATCTTTGATATAGAGTAAAACTGTTAGTGAGATGATCTCCTGAGAACCTGTTGGGCGACGGCTACGAAGACGTCCCGCTGTGTGCGACTGTCAAAGTAGATGACAATGCATGTCTTATCGTTGAGTAGGAGGGCTGCACAGTGATCATTAAGTTTCGCGTCAGTCTTGATTCTTTTGTAATCCCTAGGGTCCCACATGACGTCAACGACGTGGCTAAGTGGTATGCTTTTGGTCAACTTGGGCCCTCGTGAGAAAACCACCCGGCTGCCATCCAAGGACATTCTGGCTTCTAAACCTAACCCGTTTGACAGCATTATCACTACGTCCACACCACCCCTTGCCTGTGCCGCAAACTCCTTGATTCCAGCATCAGACACTGCAACAGTGCTCTCTACCGCCGGGAACGATGTAGCAGACGAAGACTTCTGTTGGTGGATCGCCGGAATCGGCTTATTGCCCGTCTTCAACTCCGTCAACTCCTCATTCGCAGTCGTGCTACAACAGGTACCCATTTCCAGAATTAATTTTATATGACCTCCAACAGTAACCCCACATACTCTACACAACACCGCTAAGCCCTACACACCATGGCTGTCTCCACCATGACAAACACACACGTGTTTTCGCAGATGCCGGAAGCCCATCGGAATTCTTACGGAACGTCTTGGGTCAGACCGTCACAATCAGATTGACCACCGGAACCGACTACCGAGGACGCCTCTTATGTCTAGATGCGCGAATGAACGTTGCTCTCGAACAGGCGGATGAGATTACAAACAATCGAGTCGTTGCTAGCTACCCCGAGACCCTGATACGAGGCAACAACGGTAGGCCCTCAATGAACCGTTTGATGCGGGCTACAACGGTCACACACGTTGGCACAGCCTTACGCACACTCACATAAAATGTTCATGGGAAATGTTTGCTACTACCCACCCAGCGCTACTATCCACCCAGCGCTACTACCCACCCAGCGCTACTATCCACCCAGCGCTACTACCCACCCAGCATGAGAGTTTTGTAGTGTTGTATATTAGCAGTAGTAGTTCGGTAAAACGACCGCTGGAGGACGCGACGGCCTCTGTTCCGAATTAAGAAGACCTATGGTGGTCGGTTCTGGCCAGGGTTGGGTATCTAACAGTGAGATGGGTTAGACCATGCCACCATGGGTTATGGCTTTGAAGCCTTGCATTGTGTCAGCTGGTTTATACATTGATTTGCGGTTGCGTTGTAGCCAGCGTCTAAGTTTGGCGTAGCAGGCATTGCAATGGACGAGACCGGAGATGACGCGCCATTGGCTCGTGTTGGTGGAACCGCAGGTGGGACAGGAGCGCTTGATGTCCTTGCGAAGAGCAGGGTGTTTGGCCACGGCTGGTCGCGGACGGTTGGTCTCGGGTAGGGCGGAGTCGGGGGCGGTGTCTGCGCCAGAATTCCAGTCCCAGCGCTGTTCGAGTGGCTGAGGGTCTCGGCGGAGTGGGAGAGGGGCGGGAACGGAGACCGAGACTGCTTCCGACACGGAGACTGCGCCTGAGACTGAACCCGGACTGGAAGACATGGCCATGTCGTCTGTGGTCAGTTGGCCGTCCACTTGACCCGGCGACCGGATCAGAACAACACCATCGGCTGCACCGCCCGCCCCGGGGACACCCAGGGCCGAGTCGGACGGCCCGATTCGCTGGTGCGGCAAACTCCGACTGTGTCTCATACGCGTCCCGTAAGTATGTCCCGACATGTATCCGTCCGTGTGTCCAGATGCCCCATATCCCTCGGTCGCCGCCTCAATGCCGGGTCCTGACGGCCCACCTCTGGGTCCGTTCGGCCAGAGACCGACCCGACCGAACCTGTTCCGGAAGGCGTCACCGTCCCCAAGATCTGAGGCGTGCTTCACAAGCAAGAGGAAACTATCCAGGTGCCGCGCCGGTGCTGGCTCCCGCGGTCTTCGCTTCGGTGGCTTCCACAGCTGGCAGTCCGTCGCATCAAAAAGTGCGCTTATGAACGGATCCATCTAAGACACACATTTTTCCACCACCAACAATTTCAATGCCACACTGCTCGCTGTTGTCCCGACAACTATCTTCCTAGGTCCTCCATCCCAGGCAGGCAACTAGGACCAAAAGCATTGAAGATAGACTAGCACTATCCAAATGAATAATACGACTGTGATTGCTCTATAACAATAAGCTTGTGCACCACGAGCAGCCATATGTGTACACCAACGTGTGTATGTGTACACCAACGTGTGTGTGAGTGTGTGCATGATGTGAGATTACATAAACTTGTATCTAGTGATCCTCGTTTGTCTTAAAACTTCGAGTTGTCCCTTTGTCTGTTCCGTATTCAACAGAGCTGTACGAGTACAGTCTTCAATGGAGAAAAGATCGTTTTTCGCTCCATGTACTCCTCGAGCTAGTTCCTCAGCCAGCGCTTGTAGGCCATTCAGACTCTTCAATACATCATCTAACCTTGACGCTTTCTCCCGCTCATCTTCTCGTTGTATAGAAATTATAACGTCACTGAACAGACATTCTTCCTCCCCCGGATCGCTCATTCGTGTTCCTCCCCGGATCGTGTGTTCCTCCCCGGATCGTGTGTTCCTCCCCGGATCGTGTGTTCCTCCCCGGATCGTGTGTTCCTCCCCGGATCATGTGTTCCTCCCCGGATCGTGTGTTCCTCCCCGGATCGTGTGTTCCTCATACTGAGCATTTAGCTGAGATAATGGGGGCAGAGTAGTCCCGATACAATCCAATCCGACCTTTAGCATTTCTGATAACTCCCTATATTCTGCCCCTCTTTGGGCCTGTTCACTCTGAGTTGCAGATTGCCAGAGAACCTTGAGCTTGGCCAGGTCTCCTTTTGTAGCCTCTACCACATGTTCGACCACCGTAGTCCGTGCGGACCTCTACGACTGAATTATGATCAGCCATGGTGTCCTTACGGTGCCTGCAGTTTGTTCTTGTTTAGTCAGCATCCTGCAACCACAACGTTCGTCGTCGG